GCCGGGTGTGGTTGCAGTGAGTGGAGATTGTGCCACTGCACTCCAGCCTGGGCCACAGAGTGAGACTCCCTCAAGAAAAAAAATTATATATATCTATGTATGTATATATAAATCTACATACAGTTTTAAAGGACTATGATGATTCTTTTATCATGGTGGTAGATTACATTTTCTAAATTCACGAAGAGCTTTTCAAACGTTGAACTATATAATTATATAATAATAAATAATATATGTATTAGTAATAAGATGCTGTTTATCCAAACACTTATAATAAAGAAATTGGATTGCAAAGGAAAGATGTTTGAGATAAAATATAAGTAGAGACACTAGTGCCAAGAAAAAGACTTTAAACACAGTTTTTTGGTTTTTTTGTTTTTGGAGATGGAGTCTTACTCTGTTGCCCAGGCTGGAGTGTAGTGGTGCAATCTCTGCTCACTGCCACCTCTGCCTCCCAGGGTCAAGGGATCCTCCCACCTCAGTTTCCCCAGTAGCTGGGATTACAGGCACATGCCACCATGCCCAGCTAATTTTTGTATTTTCAGTAGAGACAGGTTTCTCCATGTTGGCCAGACTGGTCTTGAACTCCTGACCAGGTGATCTGCCTGCCTCAACCTCCCAAAGTGCTGGGATTACAGGCATGAGCCATCACACCTGGCCTGTTTTTTTCTTTCATGTTGCTGCCTAACAAAGGTCTATAAAATAGAGTTAACAGGGGCAGGATTATTTGGAACCAGGGCGACAATCTCTCTTAAAAGGTCAATGTGAAAGTCCTTGGCCTCTGTCTTTGTTCTCGACAAAGTCCCTCTCCAGTCATTTCAGTGGCCATGTAGGGCAAAGGAAACAGAATAGTCATCAGAACTATTAGAACCAATAGTTAGTAAATAAATTCAAGTAAAAAGTAAATTTATACAAATTCCAAGGAATAATTATTTGGTGAGCCAGGTAGACAGATGGGTCTTTTATTTATTTATTTATTTTTGAGACGGAGTCTCGCTCTGTTGCCTAGGCCGGAGTGCAGTGGCACAATCTCGGCTCACTACAACTTCCCCCTCCTGGGTTCAAGGGATTCTCCTGCCTCAGCCTCCTGAGTATTACAGGTGTGCCCCTCTGCCTCCCTGGGATTACAGGTGTGCACCACCAAACGTGGCTAATTTTCAATATTTTTGGTAGAGACAGTGTTTCACCATGTTGGCCAGGTTGTTCTTGAACTCCTGACCTCAAGTGATCTGCCTGCCTTGGACTCCCAAAGTGCTGGGATTACAGGCGTGAGCCACTGCGCCCGGCCTAAGATGAGTCCTTTAAAATAGAAAGAAATTCAGATTGACGTAAGTTTCCCAGCAGTGAAATTGAATGTCAGAACACAGAAGAGTAATACCTTCACTGTACTCAAGGAAAGAAACTGATGCAAAGAGTTTTTATTCAGACAAACTGTCCTTCAAACTTAAAGGTTACAGACAAACACCTTTTTAAAATATATATATATATTTATTTATTTATTTGAGACAGAGTCTTGCTCTGTCACCCAGGTTGGAGTGCAGTGGCATGATCTTGGCTCACTGCAACCTCTGTGTCCCAGGTTCAAGCAATTCTCTGCCTCAGCTTCCCGAGTAGTTGGGATTACAGGCGCCTGCCACCACACCTGGCTAATTTTTTGTAGTTTTAGTAGAGATGGGGTTTCACCATATTGGCCAGGCTGGTCTTGAACTCCTGACCTCGTGATCCACCTGCCTCGGCCTCCCAAAGTGCTGGGATTACAGGCATGAAGCACTGCGCCTGGCTGACAAATACTTTTAAGATAGCAAGAACCCACAGAATATTGACTATATAAACAATACTCTTGAGGAAACTACCAGCAAACTACAGCCAGCCAAGAGAAAATGAGCAAACTTTAGCTACAGGACTGAGAGTAAGAATCAAATGTTTTTAACTCCAGATTTAAAACAAAAATAAGGCTAGGAATAAGAAAGGTAAAGGTGAGAATGAGGATGACAGAATGTTACATACTATGACAATGTAGGAAAACTTGAACTGCCAAAAATAAATGGAAGAAAGGAGAGATAATTTGGAAGTAGCATAAGTCTTGAAAGCTTCATCTGTAATTGCTCAGAATTTAAAGGTATCTTTAAGGGTGGCAAGTCAAGCAAAAGGATAAATGTACAAAGGTAAGCCCTGAGTCAGGTAATGTTATTTACTAAAATTGAATGGAGAAAGAGAAGGAGGTTAGACAGGAGGAAGAGGATACAGCTCATGTTGTGCATGGCAGGGAAGCAATAAATATTGCTTAAGAGGAAAGGTAATATATAAAGGTGTCATTATAAAAATAACCATGAGAAAAATAAAACAGCATTTAAATAGCAGAAGAATGACAGAAACAACAGCAATGAAAAGCAAAATTAAACTTCTTAATTATTAACTACAACAGACATACAGAAAAATACATAAAATATGAATTACAGAATAATCAATAATTATAAAGCACATATGTATTAAGCACTACCCAAGTCAGGAAATACAACATTACTAGCATTCCTTCCTGATCATAATCTCTTCCCCTATATAGATAGCTACTATCCTGACTTTTATAGTAATTACATGCTTTTTTTGTTTATAGTTTTACAATCTATGTATGCATTTCTAGTTTTGCCTATTTTTGGACTTTATATAATATAATCATACTGTATTTATTCTTTTATATGTTATTTATTTTATTTTAAAATGCGTTTCAAGAGTCATTCACTATATTGCATCTATCTTTAGTTCCTTTTCTTGGAAGGATAGTATTCTGTTGTTTGAATATAACAACAATTTACAAGACTATACTTTCAGGGATATTTTATTTTATTTTATTTTGAGGCAGAATCTTGCTGTGTTGCCCAGGCTGGAGTGCACTAGCATGATCTCAGTACCTGAACCCTCTGCCTCCCAGGTTCAAGTGATTCTTGTGCCTTAGCCTCCTGAATAGCTAGGACTACAGGCACACATCACCATGCCTGGCTACTTTTTGTATTTTTAGTAGAGACAGGGTTTCGCCATGTTAGCCAGGCTGGTCTCAAACTCCTGACCTCAAGTGATCCACCTGCCTTGGCCTCCCAAAGTGCTGGGATTACAGGCGTGAGCCACCACGCCTGGGCTGTACTCTTTTAATGAAGTTTTCAGAAAAACAAAAGTTCTTATATTTAATGTAAACCAATTTATCATGTTTTTCTTTATAACTAATGCTTTTTGAAACTAGATTAAGAAATCTTTCTCCATCCTGAGGTCATAAAGGTATTGTTTTTTATTATCTCCTAAAAGTTTTATAGCTTTCTCTTTCATGGTAGATCCATATCCTCTGGAGTTATTCTTGTGAGTAGCACTAGTTACTTTAAAAGGTGAGAACAAGGATCTAGGTTTAAAACAAGGAAAATTGTTGAAAGTGTATAAACAAAGCCGTAGACTCATCAGGTCCCTTTTCCAGCTGGGCATAACCAGGCAACAACCTCTCCAGATAAATGATCCAGGAAGGGCTCCAGACTTAGGCACATCAGGTGCACCAGATGACGGGGTTTTGTACAGGGGCTAAAAAGAGGAGAATGCTTGAAAGTTTGGTTCTTTTCTCCATCTCTGGACCCTGAACTCATGCAGCCAGGTATATGCTGCCTGGGAGATTGGAAAGTTCTTTTCTGACTAAATTGAATCACTCTAGAAAAAAAGACCTCCAGACAAAAACATTTGTGGATACCCAGTGCATAGGTGTACCAGATCACCTTATATTGTAGCCCAGTGCCTAACAAATTACCCCAAATATAGTGGCTTAAAACAACAAACATTTATTATCTTACAGCTTGTCCAGGTCGAGAATCAAGGCATGGTTTAGCTGGGCACCTCTGGCTCAAGGTCTCTCATGAGATTACAATCAAGTTATCAGCCAGGGCTACAGTCTCATGCGAAGATTCAACTGGGGTAAAGATCCGCTTCCAACCTCAATTATGTGGTTATTGCTCACAGGATGAGTGGGTATCTCCACAGGGCCACCTCAGGACATGAATGCTGTCATCTCCCAGGGTAAGCAACACGAAAGAGAGCACCCACGATGGAAGACTAAGCTTATTTATAAACTAATCTTAAAATGGACATCCTGTCACTTCTGTCACATTTTATTTGATAGAAGCAAGTCCCTAACTCCAGCCCATACTAAAGGAGACATGACTACATAAAGGTATTGCGAATATTGGGAATCCCCAAGACCACCATGATTTCTGACCTCAACTGCAAGCCTGGGGTCCCTGAGACACTGTCATATTTGACAATCTGTTAGAAGGACTCAGATAACTCACTGAAGAGGCACATGGGACAGTGTCCAGGAGAGTTGTTGTTTTTTTTTTTTTTTTTTTTTTTTTTTTTAACTTCAGCTGTTGTTTATTGACATACAGGTAGGCTCTATAGCAACAGGCCCGGAGGCGCTGCAGTAGTTGGGGAAAATGGAAGGTGGAAGGTGGAGTGTTTGCTGCAGGACAGCTTAGTGGAGGGCAGGGACAGGTGCAAATTGGGGAGGCCCGGGGTTAGGGGAAGCAAGTAAGGGCCAGGGCCAGAGTCGGCTTAAATGGAACAACTGCCCCATACTCTAAGGCCCCTAACTCTCACTGGCTGTTTCCTGACCCCAGGCCAGCAGTGGGAGTCCTCTGGGCATCTGTTTTCTAAAGGAATTGAACAGAGTTCACACAGGAAAAGAAGCTGTGACCCCCTTGCCATCTGGCTCCCGGGGCTTCCAGTTGGGCATTCCTCCTTCTTCCCTTGATTGGGTGGGGCCATATGATGGGCAGCCAGGCTCTGGGCTGTCCCACCAGAGCAGGCTGTAAACACGGCCATGTTTCAGCAAGGCGTTTATCTTCTCCTCTGGTGTCCCAGCCCACCAGTGCCACATTACAGCCCAGGGTGAGCTCTACAAGCGTTGCTGGCCTAATGGATGGTTTGGAGAAAGGAGGTGGGATGGGCTGGAGGAGGGGCTCTGGGGTCTATCACCACACAGAAACAACACGCACGGTGTTGGTGAAGCCAGAGCCAGGGCGCCACCCAATCAGACCAATGGCCACATCTCACTCCCTCCTTTTTTTTTTTTTTTTTTTTTTTTAGACAGAGTCTCGCTCTGTTGCCCAGGCTGGAGTGCAGTGGCCGGATCTCAGCTCACTGCAAGCTCCGCCTCCCGGGTTCCCGCCATTCTCCTGCCTCAGCCTCCCGAGTAGCTGGGACTACAGGCGCCCGCCACCTCGCCCGGCTAGTTTTTTGTATTTTTTAGTAGAGACGGAGTTTCACCGTGTTAGCCAGGATGGTCTCAGTCTCCTGATCTCATGATCCGCACGCCTCGGCCTCCCAAAGTGCTGGAATTACAGGCGTGAGCCACCGCGCCTGGCCCACATCTCCCTTCTTAAAGAAGCTTCCGGCGTTGTCAACATTCATGGCCAAGTTCACCCAGCGGTCCACATCCTCAGCCCTGGCCTCCTGGACTGGGTCCTGGCACAGCACAGGGAAGATGCCATGGTGCAGGTGGGCCTGACCAGCTGTCTGGGGATTCTGTGTCACAGCAATGATGGGGGCACGTGGGCAGTATCTGGCCACCTGGTGAGCAGACCTGCCAGACTTGGTGAGGACGATTATGGCCCCATTGCAGCACTTGAAGGAGGTCTCGTTGGCACCCACGGTGGTGGCTTCGTGGGGTCGCTGGTAATGGTCGCCAGGCGGGGAGAGTTCCTCAAATAATTGCAAGTGGTAGATGGCGGCCTCTGCCTCATGGGCAATCAGGTGCTGCTTGTGCCCAGCCTCCAGATAGTCCCCTTTGGCTGTTTCTCCAGACAGCATGATGCAGTTGGCTGCATTCAGGACTGCATTGGCCACATCACTGTTAATGACAGACTTCCCAGCTCCGCTGCACCACCCAATCGTCATCTTCTGAGCAAGAAAGACCTTCTCTGCAGGAATCTCAATGCCTAGATCACCGCCAGCCACCATGATCCCATCACTGGCCTCTAGGATTTCATCAAACCTCAGAATGATTCTCAATTTTGCTGATTACCTTGATGTTCTTTCCCTTCTCTCCCAGGGCCTTCCTAACTTCATGGACATCAGATGCCTTGTGGATGAACGACATAAACACCATATCGACATCCTGCTCGACCCCAAACTTCGGGTCCTGGATGTCCTTTTCTGACACAGCAGGCAGGTCCACAGCAGCCCCAGGAAGGTTCACACCCTTCTTGCTGCCCAAGGAACCACCATTTTCCACCTCCGTCACCAGGAAGTCAGCACCTTTCTGCTTTACCTGGAGAGAAATAAGCCCATCATCCACGTAGATCTTGCTGCCCACTTCCGTCACCTTGCAGATGTTCTTGTAGTCCAGCCACAGGATGTTCTCATCACACTTTTTCATGTAGGCATTATCCAGCATGATTTTGAGAGTGGCTCCCATCTTCAGCCCCACCTCCGCGGTGCTGCTGTCCTTGATGAGCCCCGTTCGGATCTCAGGTCCTTTAGTATCCAGAGCCAAAGCAACGTGCCGGTAGAGGATGGGGTCAGAAGCAAAAATTTCCGTGGCTGTGTGCACGTTCTTGATGCTCTCCACGTGGTACTCATGAGTTCCATGAGAGAAGTTCAGACAAGCCACATTCATTCCAGACTTAATCATCTCCTTCAAGTTCTCCACCGATCGGGAAGCTGGGCTATTGGTAGAGATGATGCCAGTGTTCCAGGCCGTGATGGGTGGTGTGTGAATGTCCAGGCGGCACATGTGCTCCAGGAATGTGTCAGCTACATGGCATGTAGCTGCTGGGTCTGAGTGAAGGCAGTCCCGGCTTCCCTATGGGGCTTCGACATGGCTGCTGAGGTCCTCTGGTGCTGACCGACTTGGGCTACACTGCAAAGGCGAAGAGGTCAGGAGCCCCGGGATGTGCAGCTGCTGTGCCCCGGGAGAGTTTTAAATGCAGAGCATCTAGTTGTCCTCTCCCAGTGGAGTTATGCAGACAATTCTTACTTCTCACAGTAACAATGTGTGATAATACACATGCAATATTCCCAGCCAGGGAAGCACCTCCAAGCCTTGGTGTCCACCATTTTTATTAGTCATGTAGACATGGCTGACTGCCTGTGTGGCTGGCCTTCATGTCCAACCCCCTCCTGAGGTTGAGCTGACAATGCATAGTTCAGAACCCCTACCATATATCACATTGTTAGCACAGACCATCTGGCATGGCCCAAGGCCCCCAGGTAAACAAAGAACATTCCAACAGTTTAGAGATTACCTCCCAGAAAGTGAGAGTAAAGGCCAGATACTTCCTGGGGCAAGGTTAATACTTTTGTTGCACAAGCATGAATACCAGGAGGTGAGGATCACTGGGTGCTACCTTTCGGGTTTCCTACCACACTCACCATTTAGAAAACTTCCCAACCTGAGCTTTTGATTAGCTTTTAAGTGCCTCATTCTTATTTTTAAATTAATTTATTTTATTA